GAAATATGTTTTTCGAATTATTTCCGAAAAAAAAATATATATAAATTAATAATAAATCTAATTACTATATATTATATATACATATAAAATATAAATATTTTTTGAAATATATCTTTATTAAATATCACGAATAAAAAATATTAAATAAATCAATTAAAATTCATATGTATATATATATAAATCAAATCATTTTAAATATTTTCATCATTAAAATTATTTAATTATTTTTTATATTTTTATTGGGTTATATATATATATTTTATTTAACAATAGAAATTTTAATTATATATATCTATATATTTGAATAATTATAAATTTATTATTTATATAGATTACATTTATTTTGAAATATATATATATAAATATTTATTATTATTGATTTTTAAATATCATATATTTTTTAATTTTTATTTCTAAAAAATATTATAATTAATATTAATAAATAATAAATTTATATACTATATTATTTATATCATAAATATATATATATATGAGAAGGAAGGGGACGAAAGGCAATCCCTGCGGCTCCACCCCCTAAAATGGTTAGCCCATAATTTCGCATCATATAAATCTTCCAAATTAAGCCTTCGATTTTCTTCTATAAAATTAATATATTATAAGAAAAAAAAAACCTAGATTAATTTCGTCATCGCTTCACCTTATATCTTAGCAAAAATCATAAAAAAACCTAGACTAGGTTCACCATAGAATCACCTTATATTCACCGCAACAAAAATCTCACATTAATTTGGATTTCTCCGCAACCTCATCCCTTTGCCCTGATTCTCCGATTCCGGGGACCAGGGCGGGGGTCTACACGGATGGGGATTTTGGAGCTATTATCCCTGCCGTCAGATACCGGGAATCGAATTCTCGATCGCGAGGATAAATTACGCATAAATTCCCATCATATAAATCCTCCAATCGAAGCCTTTGATTTTCTTCTTAAAATTAATATATCCTATCAAAAATCTCAAAGAATAAATCTTAGATGAATTTCGTCATAATTTGGTTATATATATATTATTCCAAATATATCAAAAAAAATCTATTAGATTAGCAAAATCATAATTTAACCTTATATAAATTATGTCAAAAATCACAAACAATATTCCCTAGAATACCTGCACCATAGCTTTACATAATACATGCCCTCCAATTTAATATTTTCTTCTTTATAAAAATAAATATATATATATATGAATAAATATTATGAATAATATTTTTATTGATATTCAAAATAATTAATATATATATAAAAATGAAAATAATTAAATATTAATTCCTTTCAATATAAATTTTCATATTATTATTTTTTATTATAATTATTATTTAATACAAAATATATATAATAAATTCAAGATTATTTTCCCATAATTTCGCCTTATATTGATCATTATTGGAATTATTATTATTATGATTGTTTCCGCAAATTTTTCTTTTTTTCATAGTGGTGGAACATCATCAAATAGGCGGTATTTTCATGCATTTTGACAATTTTCCGCACATAAAATATCGTAAATATCAATAATTTTGATATGTCGGAAAACATAAATTTATAATATTTCCAATATTTTATATTTTTATTATCAAAATCATGGTTGTTAAAATAATGATCAATATTTTACAAAAATATTATTATATATATTTATTTCATTATAAATTATTTAATTTTTCTTTTTAATATAATTTCAAAATATAATAATTTAAAATATTATAATTCTTAAAATACACCAAAAAAATAATAAAATTAATTTAACCAATCATTTTATTAAAAACAAAAATCTCGAAAATAAGGCATCCGCCCCAATCCCACGAATCCATTCCCCCACCCGCAGCCGGCCTCAGCCTTATCATCCCGGCAAAAAATGCCCAAACAATATTAAAAAAATAATAAAATAATATATTATAATTTTAATAATAATAAATATATTAATTCTTATTAATCCCAATATTTTCAAGTCCTTCCATAAACTAATATATTTAAAGTCAGACCCAAAATCAGCACCACATATAGACACGCAGCTAGCGACCATTTAAGGCACCTACACCAAAAGCCAAATACATCAGCTATCAATTCGAAGGGCTAAAAACCTACTACTCTAAACTACAAATAGGTCCTTAGACTAATTTTTATTTATACAATATATATATATTCTAATATTAAATATACATAAATATTTATATTATATATTTTCTAATTATCAAATTATAATAATACAAGACATAAATAATCATATATATATAAATAAATATATAAATATACAAAATCCAATTAACCCCATTATCCAATAAATTTATTAAAAAAAATACAAATCATCAAATTATCTTTCAATAATATAATAATA